CAACAAAAACTGCGGGGAACTATGCAAAAAACGCATCTTCGCACGGGCAGCCCGTGCGCTGGCCAACTATTATTAATATTTATCCAAATAATGACAAATATATGATAATTCTTATTTCAAGTGTAGTGAAATTAAATCTAATATATAAAGGAGACATGAGGGGAGGTGAGGAGAATGCGATTCAATAAGCAAAAGGAATCATAAATTCCAGAAAAAAAAAACATGAGAAATGTCATGGAAATTTTGCATATTTAATTATTCCAGTCACTTTAGCATCCAGTATGGTAGGCCACTGAATTTAATCGTTCTGCACGTTACGCTCAAATAATAATATAACTCAACGCACAGGAGGTACTGGTACTGAATTTTAGAGTGTAACTGAGAAACTTGCCTGTTTAACCTGTTCTTCTTCGTCATTTAAATGTAACACAATTGAAACAATATTGATAAGCAGCTGCTCCCTGTACGCATCACAACCACCAACACGCTGACCTAATTCACCGAATAAACTGAATGATACCGCACGCAGTGCACTGCTTTCCTGAAATTTCCTTACATTCAAATCAAAAAGCTTTACAAAAGCGATCGAAGGAATGTGATTAAACTAGTACTTTCATTGAAATAATTCCGGTACACGTCAAGGACAGGCTCGGTTATTAGTTTCTGCAATAAGCTTTTGCGCTTTCTACCTGTTCGAAGAGCCAATATACAACAGGCACGAGTCTTTTTAAATAATTCGGCGTAGCTGCTCCAACACCGCGCAGCCCGCTAGATGAAAATGGGCCTATGTTGCAAATTATGGATTAAAAATTCCAGTAATTCCTAAGAGCAGCCCACCAGTTTGAATCCGCAACCAATTTTACTTCAAATTTTTAAATTAACTGTATTTAATGTTTGTTCAGATCATCGACCAGGCGCTCTACATATTCCAGCAATCTTACTTATCATGTTTCACTAACGGCCGTCTCACGTCAACAGGGAATAATACTGCTTTCTAGCAAGCTTCTTTGCCGTACTGGTTACTTGAACCTTCGCATACGAAGAAAAATCTTTTACTTCTGGAAACTTCACACAAAAACTGAAGAAATTTCTGCTTACTAAGAAAAAAAAAACGTGCCTTTTCAAAGCATGGACGTAACTTTAACAGCACATTCGACAAAATATTCTCTAAATGTGTATTCGACACACGCGTCGAAAGTTTGTTCAGTGCATTCACCGCTTCCATTGCAATCTGCAATGTTTTGAAGATTGCTCTCGCGCTACAGAATAAACTTGCACTACTACACTTCACTGTCTTGAAGAATGATGAAGCACAGATTGAAAGCAGCGCGATCAAGCGCAGTTCACTGTTTCGCAGATTTTTCGAATAACCTCCCAAGAAATGGAGAGCTCAAACTCACAAAGTACAACAAATTAACGCTATTTTGATCACGCTTTTCAGGATATTCAAAAGTAAAAAAACATGATGTTTCAATATGTTTACCCCCTCCCTTCCTTTCCAACAGGCGAAGAAGCCCGAGTATTAATAAAAACGAGTGCAATCTCTCAAAAACAAGATAGCTTTTCTGAAAAAGAGAGGGGAGCTTTTCATTGCTTTTACTGCTCTAACTGGTCTAACTTTCGGCCAAGTTGGTAACACAGATAAAAGACAGCAACCCATTAAAGTAAAAGCAAAATGTTCGATCCCGAAATTTGAAAGAAACTAGTCACCTAAACCTGCAAAACTGAACGTGCCATAGTGAAATCAAATGAAGCCTGCAGCAAAATATGAAGTCTAATAAACAAATTTAATTGGACGAATAAATAATGCAAAGACAAGGATAAATGAGCTGTAGTAATGATGTGGGCAAAACATATAAAAAGTAAATGTGCTCGCCCAACATGGTATTTTTGCAAAAAAAATCATAACAGGCAACCTCATCCCGACGATCGCCAACATCATCCAGGCCAGCCATTGCAGCCTGTATTGCGTCCGAAGAATATTTGTTCAAGATCGAGTCACTGCAGCATGCCAAATCACCCAGTCCACGAACAGCGAGCTGAATAGAAACCATTAAAGTTTCAGTACAAGTAAACATGGAACAATTCATACATGAAGCCCATTGCTTCGGTAAGATTTTAACGAACTTACTTTCCGAATTTTTAAATTCCGATCTTCCAATGCTTTCATAAGCGTTGCGATCAGTGCATCCAGAAGCTTGTTATCCGCTTCGCCTTCTTCATCCGGGCATCTAAAACGAAAAAGAGTCTATTTTGAAGCGAGGCATCACAAAAGTACATGCTAACAAAATAAATTTTACGCCATTTTAAAGGGAGAGTTTTTTTTCAAAAAAACTCCGTTAAGAAAAAAACGCGTATTAGTACCAAAGCCAACTGTATATGTAGATATGTGATGAATCAGACAAAAGTACACAAAAAAGTAATTCAAAAAGAATAAATTAATCCTAACTGAACTTCGTTTCTTGCAATTTAAAAAAAAAAAGTTGTGGAATGAGTAGCCTGTGTGATTCTAACTAATGTTTTCGCATTGGATACTTTGACCAGTCAGTTACAATTTGTAATCAGAGCTTTTCAGCTAGGTAAACTTTTCCGGACTGACAACCCCTCCTCTTCTCGAAGGGATTACCAGCATATAGGTTTCTCCAGACAAAAGAACTTGATGGGGATCTTAGCTCGAAACGTCCCTGTTGCGTACTAATTACCAACATTTCATCCCGAATATTCCTTGATCACGGCGAGGTGCCTTATCTTAGCGTGTTCACCAATCAAAGAAGTTTTAATAAGCGAATTTGTTTTGATAAAATTGCCTTTTCATTAATGCAGACAGAACTGCCGCAGCGGCTACACGATATGCATCGCTAGAGGATTGCATTCGTGGTATCATTAATCTTACAAGAGGGCGTATCCATTCCGGACGATGCTCGCTCAATGACCGTGTCAAAACTGCGATCTGAAAACTGTGTAAGTTTGGGACAGAGAAAAAAAGCAACAGATATCAACAGCTGAGCGAGCTATAATCCCCGGTATCAACAGAGCCAAAAATCTGCAGTCGAATTCAAAGGAATTTAGGTTCTAGTTTAAGAAGCAAGCCACATATTTGGCTTGTGGATTACCAGTTTCTTAACAGTATCCTGAGGGATTCTGGAGTTTCGTGAGTTCGAACTTACTCCATTTGTAAAGTGCAATGTATCGATACAATCACTCCAGGCACGCTCTGAGTTCATTTTTTCAACAATGGCATCATCGAGAGTTCGAAGAAACAAACTTCGCAAAGCTTGCGAAGCTAAAGCTGCTGGTGTTGATGAAATTCGGCGCAGTTCCGGTGTAATAATCAGAACTTTTGCACCTGGAAGAGAAATATGACTTGTTTTGTACTCAGAGTTAAAAAGTTGCAAAAAAATCTGTAGTACAAAATTTGATGCGCAAAAATAAATAAAGAAACTTAAGTAATTTACCGTTTTTTTCTTTTACCAGTACTGGATATTGGGTATCGATAACGGCAGCCAAAAACTGTAGAAGTGCAGCCAGAATGTTGGGTATTCGCTTAAAAAGTTCGGGCTCTGGTTCGCCAGCCTGAAAGAGCATGCTGTTAAAAAAAGTTCTTGTGAATTAAAAAAAAAATACTCTAGAAGAAAACTGCTTTCAGTGAAAAGTACTGGAAGTTTTTACTCTGATAATTTCAGTGACTGCTGCTGCCAGTGCGCAAACTTCCGGTTTCACGATTTTGACCGATGATCCGGCGCCAGTATCCAAAATTTCGAATGGAACTTCATTGCTTTCAGACGAGCCGCATCCGGCTGTGATCAGTTCCAGCAAATAATCGGCAATCAGCGGGAAAAGGGTGTGATCATGGGACATCGTATGCCATGCATCAATCATCGAGCTATAAAATCGGAACGTTTAAAGCGAATCACCGCAAGGGATAACCATGCTGACGCTTGCGATGAAATACTGACTGATGTACTACTGGGACTTCTTTTTAACAGTATTTTTAATGCACTGCTTCCAAATCTAGCAAAATTTCCATGGTTGCTGTCTACTGAGTTGGATCACCTCGTCCGATCTACTGCCAGTGAACTTGGCTTTAGGTTCGCCCTTACCTTTTTGTACAAAAAGCAAAAAAATACGATTTGAAACAGATAAAGCGAAATTCACAAATCATGTCCAAATACAGTCCCTCCTCACTTTTTCTTCAAAAAGTTTTCTGCCAACGGTTTTCACTTCCATAAAAATGGTAAATGATAAATCCGCCCATGCAATTAGATATCTTACAATACAGTTTACTGCCACTGTGATTAATCAAGTTGAACGAGAAAGGCGCTCATCCAGTCCGACATCACTGGCATTTCGAGAAAGCATAAAAAACAAGCTGTTCCTGAGCATACCAATAAAATGTTTGGCCAATCCTCGAAAAAGACAAATTTTTTTGACAAAAATGAAAAACATACACAGAATAAGGTAGAGGCCGGGCAAGCATCACATCGATACAGGCATAGAGCTGATGATGCGCAAAAGCAATTAGGGCAGCCAACAAATCGGTGTACGTTTGAACGCATGCATGCACATCCGGCAATTTGTTCAAAAGTGTCGTAACCAATGTGTCCGCCTAAAAAACACATCATTAAATTAACGCAATTCAATTTTTGATGTAGAAAAATCGTAAAATCAATGCAACGACACAAGACACTATTACTACCTAGAGCTCAGGCAAGGTAAAATGGTACTGCAATAAAAGATTACTGAAAAAAATTAAATCTCCTATGGCCCCTCAAGGATACTTCATGGATTCCTGGTATATGTAAGCTTGACCCATTATAGCATTCTGTATAATCTTCCCAATAAAGTAATCAACTAGACGTGTCAGAGAGAGCATTTTACTACTGCCTTCAGAGCCAACACCCACAAGAGTAAGTCATCAGCGATTTTAGGCTGATGTTGCTGGACAAAATAAGATTCGAAACAGGCCACGGACCACTGATTACAAACAGTAATTACGCTTCAAATTTAATTGTGCCACAGTTTTTCCACTTTTTAAAACTCCCTCTCCTGGATAACAGAATGCTAGAAGTTGTCCCACAAACTACGTAAAGAAATGAAAATTCAAAAAATTTCAAATGAAATTTTTAAGAGAACGAGGATCTTACCTCAGCACAAAGTGTACCACCTCGATGTGTCAGAATGCTGGTTAATAACTGAGCGGCAGCTGAACTGACTTGACTTTGCCGATCATTCAACATCCCAAAAAGTCCGGAGAGATATGTCTGGATTTGCGACTGTGGCAGTCGGCTATCCGTGAACTGAAATCAAGCAGTATTAAAAAGCCAATTTAAAAGGACTGAAAACCTAATCATAATAACTTACGTCAGCCATAACTTTGACAGCTTTCCGAGAAATCATTCCTTCCAGTTTGCCTTCATCACCAAGATAATCTTTGATAAAAACAGCAGGATCAAACAACGTAGAATCTATGCTGTCTCGAGAAAGGCCTAAAAAATTTTGAAAATGTGCCACTTATTGAGGAAGTCTGGAACGAGCACCTCCAATAACACTTTATAAGCAAAACCCCTGGCTAACATAGCGCAGTAACAAGAAACACACTGGAAGTTAAGGGTTCAATACCACCAATTCTCCCACAATTCATTCATCCGTTTCAATAAGCACTAGCTCACCAGGCAAAGTGAAAACTGTTTCGAAAGAAAGAAGAAGTTGACAGCTATACAAATGGGTTTTTGCTGCTGAACACTGTCACTCGGACTACCTCCTCTGTCCAAGGTTGAACTAATTCAATTATAACACCTTCTATCATCGATCTTCAACATTGCTGGCAAGTGATAGTTTGCATTACATTAAGCATTTATCTAAAATCTGTCCATGGGAAAGCCAACTTTTTAAACATTCGTTTTTGGCCGCAATATGGTACTGACTGAGATTCAGGGGTCAAATCGCTGTCAGCTTTCAAATAACCCTTGGAAAAGAGAGCACCATTACCAGCAGAGAGTGGCTAATGGCAGAGTACTCTCACTGCAATCATTTCAAAGCGCCACATCAATCCCTCAGAATTCATATGGGGTGTTGCTGACTTACAGAATTTGTTAAAAACAACAATTTAGTGGATACCTTTATGGACATGTGCCAAACGGAATGTCCAGTAAACAGCACGCAGTGCAGCATGACGGACAGCGCACAGAGAATCGGCCACTCGTGGCACAAGCCGAGCCAGCAGCGACGACATCGGCCCAAACTCATTGGCACGCTGATTTTACAAATTTTATTAGAACTGATCCAACTCAACATATAAGCATGGAGCCTAAAAAATCCTTATCAAAAGTTCTACAAAAGAGTAAAGAAATGAAATGACAAGACTTACTCCCAAAGCGAAATCTCTAGCGTGCTCGAAATAAACTGTGAGAACGCGCAGAGTCGCATCAACAGCGCGTAAGCGTTCGTGATCCGCAGCCGATGCGTAATACGGTTGGAACAGCTAAAAATGTTCGATCAAAGAAGTTCTCTACTTTTACAGAACTGAACAGACAGATGACAAACATAAGCAGCTGCAGACTGCGTCTTTTACAGACTGTTTCAGTGCGAAGATGCGTCTTTTGCACGTTTCCCCCGCAGTTTTTTGTTGCTAATAGCATTGTCTTTTCCGACAGATGCTCCTAGCTAAGAGCATTGAGAATAACCACCACGACTGTTTGAAATTATTTCAATAACTCCTAATCAGTGGCCAAAAAATTCAACACTCTAAATGCTTCGGATGCGAAGTTACGTCAAATTTCACGTTTCCTTATGTGAGTAGCAAAGTAAACGCTGTCTTCACGTGCGCCTTTTCAAACACGGCCCTACACGACGCTCAGAAAGTTTCAGCACTCTAGCTGCTTCAATTCTTAAGTTACAAAAATGACTCCGTGAAATTTTCACGTGTATGTGAGATGAAGAAAAGCTGGAAAGCTCAGTTTACTTTCAAAAAAACTGGGCGACAAATAACGCTGCAAAATTACAAGTCCTACAACTTCTTGTTCAGTTTAAATCTGGAGTTGGCATGATGCTAATTTAAATGTGTGCGTACATGAGACCTAGGGGTGCGTGAGGGCTGAATTTGAAATCTTTGGATTAGATGGGGTCAGGGAACAAGTCTGGGAAGTTCCAGCCTCCCAACTTGCGCCGTTTCCGAAAACGCTTTCCCGCTAAAAAAAATTTCATGTGCCCATACGTGAGAAACACGTGGAAGTGAGCGTCCATTTTGAGGAATAAGGCCTGCAGGCATGTGTAGATTAAGCTACCAAACTTTCACCCCCGTAGCTTTTGGGGATCTCAAGATAAAAATTCGTTGCAGACGCGCACACGGACATACATACACACAGACACACACAGACAATCCCTCGACAACATGCCTTTTGCATCGCATGGATATAAAAAATGCATAAAAATTTAGAATAAGTAAAGGAAAAGATATCACGAAATACTGCTCGCAATCCCGATATCACTAAGATCTACGCGCATTATAAACTGCTTCATCATGCCCGTTGTGTTTTTATGCGTTTTGTGCTGTGTAACAGCAGTACAAAACGCATATTGTTACGGGGTTGTCTG